GGAAGCAATTTATTCATAGCAATGAGCCTCAACACTCCTTGAATGTTTTTCCATTAAAATGCATAATACTTCATTTTTAACGCTGCTCTGTAACGAGAGAATTCCATCACAGCAGCGGAGCCAGGTTCTGGCTGTTCCTTGTAAGGGGCAGAGGAATCTCCAGAGGGTTTCAAGTGTGGTCAGCACGACTTCGTGTGTTGGGTCGTGCCGTTACATGCCTGTGAGGGCCAGAGGTGGATCCTGCTCTTGCTCATGTAACAGTAAATCAGTTTTGCATCAGCCTACATCAACTGTAGGTTATTTCCGAGAGCAAAGCTTTCGTCAAGGTGCTGCTTTGCTCGTTTAATGGCAGTGGAATTTTGTCAGTGACATTATTTTTGGAGGATAAGCCTCCTTTGGGCCATTTGCCTTGGCACAAATAAATAATGATTATTATTTATCATTTTATCTTTATATGGGGCCCTCTATGAGCAACCTTGGTTGTCCATGACAGTGGGCAAGGGCAGGCTGCTCTCAGTTCTGGAGTTCATCTCGGGGATGTTCTCTTGAACGTTCAGGGCTGGAGACCATCTCCTTCTGAGGAAGAACTGTCCCCTCTCACCAGACAGCTGTTGATCTCTTGTTCCTGACAGTTAATGAGAGCAGTGGGAAGGCCATGTGTGGCTTTAGCATGCACCAAGCAGCAGGGAGGCTTGCTTCAAATAAGAGTAATGTTGGTGATGTGTACATGTGGTCTTGGGTTTGTAGAAGATAAGTATGTGAGCACCGGTGGGGGATTCAGACACTTTTCTCCCCAAGCATTTCTGTGAATGGCAGGATGGTTTTGCAAATGATACTGGGATGTGTAAAGCCATGTCCTGAAACTTGGCAGAATGCCTTCTGCCTCGGGTTTTAAGTGGATCTTTTCATCCCACCCTTCCACACATCAAATGCTAAAGCGTTCTAGGTGGGAGCTGCTGGCCCGTTACATGGAGAGGCTTATCCAAAGTGCTTGGGGAAGTATGTGGTCGGGGGAATGGTTACTCCTGGTGGTACGAGTCTCCTTCCATGCAGGGGCTGGACTTCTTGAGCTCTGAAGCTGGGACCTTGAAAGGTGCTGCTGCCTGCCCTTGGTAGTGCATCTTCCTGTTGGGCTACCTCGTGGGCTTCTAGCAAAAGAGAAATGGTCTTGGTTAAAATGGGTTCTCACAAGTGTCACGGCCGTGCTGACAGAGGAGAATGAGTTGCATTGGTTTTAGTTTTGGAGTTGGGTAAATGCTAAAATACATAACAGTGCTGTTACTGGATCTAATGGTACGGTTGCTTTGTCCTTGTTTCACATTGTGTTATATTAGAAGGTGTGTTCCTTGCCTCTGGGCCTTCATTGCGCTCTAAGAGGAGGAGCGGTGGTGGGTTTCACTAGGGATAAAGGATTCCCTGAGCACGCGCTTGCAAAGATGGGCACACACACGTATTTTTACGCCTGAGGAGGACTGTTCTGTGGAGTTAAGCACCCTGCACATCACATCCCCTCCCTAGCCCCAAATCTGGAGTCTGTATTTAGGGATTAAAACAGCCTGTACCCAATTTTCCTGGAGTTTTGGTAATTGACGTATAGTTTACGCGTAGCATATTTTGTGATACAGATTTGTACTTGCATAGGAGTATAATAACAACTTGTACTGTTGCCAATTTGAGTTTTCCTATTAAGTTGGCGCGTCTGACTTGTATCTTCTGTCTTGTTTTGAATCAGAAACAGACGCCCAAGGATGTGGCTGACATTTTCAATGCCCCCAGTGACAATGAAGATTTTCCAGGGTTCCAAGATGGTGCTTCCAGGCAGAGGTTGTTGTCAGAGAACAGCTATGCTAGCTTTGATTCCCTGGAGTCGGGAAAAAAGGTAGGAACGGATTTAAAATGTGAGTTTAAGTGAAGTAGGTAAGTGTAGGAAACAAGAGAAAAAGAATTGCCATCCTGGGCTGGTGTCCTCTGGATACATAAGACATTGGAAATGCATGATAATTGATGGGTTTTGTGGGCATGCAGACTTCAAGGTATTTCTTCCAGAAACCTGTGTCCGTGTGCTGTTTCTTCAGTAAGATTGTGTTTAAGTGGTGGTGACCCACAGAAACCATCAGCTTGCTGGTTCTCTGCTCTCTTAATGGTGAAGTAGCTTGGATCAGCATAATGATTTGATGTTTTTCATTCTTTGATTTAGTAGCTGGAGGTACCAGCTGAATTCAAAAGAAAGGAAGAGAACTGGTGTGCTGTCTTGGCTGCCAGAAAATCTAGTTTTTAGTCTTTTGGAAGCTTGTAATTATATACTTGATTGATGTGGGCTAATGTGCTAAAAGATACCCTTGTCAGTTGTGCTCTCACAAGTGTCCCTCTGCTCCATAAATAAAAAAATTGAAAATAGCTTTTTCTTTTCCTATTCTACCAGGTCAGCACCTGGTTAAGAGTTGGTGATTACAAGGAATATGACTAGTGTTAGGAAGGGGAACAGACAGAATGAGGCATGTATGAGTATGTGCTGTTTCTGAGCCTCAGTAGACAAATGGCCTCAGAGAGGCTTCTACAAGGCGCAGAAGCTGTTTGGGAGTAGGGCTTCGAGTCTGTGCTTTGGAGAAAGGAAGTGACTTAAAAGTAACGAAATATATTTGGCTTTTTATTGCTTCGTCATCTCATTGCCAGACAGCAGTGCTAGTAACTTCAGAAAACCAGGAGGTGGCTTGCTCTTGTGTCTGTGGCTTTGTGTGGAGCATGAAGAAGGATCAACAAGGAGAGCTGTTGGTGGTGGAGCCTTGTGTGGGAGCCTGAGGTTCTGCTTCTGCTGCCTGCTTGGGGACTGCAGGCACCTTACTTTACTCTCTCTGCCTTGGTTTCCCATGTGAGATGGAGATTATGATAATGATCTTTGCTGCAAAGCATTTTGAAATCCTCTGATGAGAAATGCTGTGGAAGAGCTAGGTACTGTTAATTTAACATGTGTTACTGGGAATCCCAGTGAGACTTGTTCCAAATTTACAGCTGGCACTGGAGCCTTCCTCACCACTCCTGTGTTTCCCTTGGGCCGAGAATTATTTTAAATCTCCATCAGTATTGAGTTTAACTCCTTTACCACTAAATGGTCCAATAAAAACATGAGGGTTTTTTTTTTATCCTGAGTTCCATCTGTTTATGATGCTGAAAAAGGCTGTAGATGCTTGTGCAGGAAATGAAAAGCTTTTGGTGTGAAGAGCAAAATGATGGGAAGTTCAGAAAAACGCTGTAGTTGATGGGAGAGGAGGGAAAGCCACTGGTGAATGGGATGTTAGTGCATCAGGTGTTCCCTTGGAAGTTGAAGCACAAATGCATCAACAAGTATTGACCTCTGTGTGTCTGCTTTTCCTTAGGGCTTTCTGCAGCCCTGCTCCCATAATCTCTGCACTTCTGCTGAGTTTCAGTATCCCTGATGTGTATTCTACCTTGTGTAGACCATTCTTCATAGGTCTAGGTGTGTTATTTTTAGTCATTTTAGCTAACAAACAGCTTATCCCTCCCCCTTAACTTCACTGTGGAATGTCATGAAAATACAGAATGCATAAAAACTTCAGTTTCTCTCCAAGAAATGCAATTTAATGTAACTTCCCTATTGTGTTTGTTCCTTTCTCAAGCAGCTGTGCTGCAGCTACCAACAAAAGAATAAAGTAATTTTACTCAGAGAAAACTCATTCCAATTACCCATAATAATTTGTAGGAGATGTTTAAGTGTAAAGAAACAGCATATGCAGTAGCTCCCCCCTCCCATTGCCCTGTTCCACTCATCTATTATATCTTTTTCACCAGATATTATCTTAATGTAAAGAAGTGTGTAATTAAAGTCAAGGAAGGGAGGGGAGTGGAAGGGAAAATAAAGATATTTAGCAAGTGCATCATATGAAAGGTCATTTTTGTCTCTTGTGTGGGAGGAAGAAATAGCAGAGGAAAATTGGGGAAACAAACTTAAGTGAGTGTTGCTGACTTCCAAGAGGCAGGTGTGGTGTGAACATGGGTTATTCCTACCATGAACAAGTCTATGAGGAGACGAGTTGACAGATAGTCTTCTGGTAATTCTGATGAGAAGTATGGAAATGTATTTCTGATTTAGTAACTGCATTGTGTTTAATAGGTATGTAATGTGCATATCGTGAGGAGTGCTTTAATGAGATCTAAGTTTATTTTCATGGCTGGCGTCTTAGTCTATACACAGAAATTTGGGATCTGCCTACCCTAGAATGCATTTGAATTATAAACTACACCATTAAAACAGAGAGCTGAGCAGCTGGGAAATGGAGGGATGTTAGTCAGGCTGTTCAAGGCTCCGTGGTTTTGTGTTGGAGTCTGTCACTTCAGTGAGGGTGTAACAGCATGAGAAGGAGCAGACTCCATCTCCAGGAGCCTTGAGTACAGCTGCAGCGAGCCCAGAGGAGAGTGTTGTTTCTACTGCTACGTGAAAAAAAGGACGTCTCTTTCTTACTGTGGTTGGTTGTGGTTTGTATTTTCTTCCATTCAAGGCCTGATTTTCACATTCAAAAGAAAACATACAAAACAGCATGGTAAGTTACGCGTAAGAAAACAGTTTATTTTTATTGGATAGTAGCGAAGAGGAGGAAGAGGTGAAGAAGAAAGCTTGCCCCACAAGAAGCAGCCCAGTTAAAGCCCTGTGCTCAAAACAAGGGGAAAAAAATTCCTGCTAAGTTAAAATAGCTCAGTGCTGAAACTCTGAATGTCTTCTGCTTTTTTTCTTTTGACAGGCTTTGCCTGCAAAGTGCTTTCACAGTCTGTGCCACCTAGTTGGTACTTGCTTGAACCGCAGAAGCCGTGTATTGTGACTGTGTGACTACTCTGTGTCTGACCTGTCTCACAGCTGTGGGCTGATATTTTTACAGGGGGTGAGATTTCAGCCCAGATACCTCACCGAGGAACTGCAGAAGATTTTCACTGAAGACACTGACTCTGAAACGGAAGCGTTTGAAGGCTTCGCGTCAAGTGAGGTGGATGTGAACAAGAAAGGAGTTCTGGTAAAGGCAGTCACTTATGTGTGAATGTTTATGTTGACTTCTTTTTCTCTGTCTCTTCTGTGTAAACCTCATGTTCTAGCAGGAGTGTTTCTGATGTACTGTGGTGTTCTTTCTTCATGCTGAAGAAAAACGTGTTATCTTAAGAGAGGAAAGAAAAGCTTTATTTAACATAACATCACATATTAAAAATGAGAACTTCTTCCTCTGCTTGTAGACTGATTGTTCCTCTGAAGGCAGCTGTGTCTGTATCCCAGACAATATTAATATATAGATTTTGTGTTGGTTTCTGCAGAGGGAGAAGTTGTGTGCTGTCAACTTTTAAAAATTTGTTGATTTAAATGAATTTATGGCAGTGCCTTTGGGTGGTGAGACTGCTGCCTAGAATTAGTGATTTTAAAAAAGACCTTTCTTGTGTCACAGCCACTAATGTAACATGGGATTGTTCCTGCCTCTAGGGCGTGGAGTCAGACTTGACTGATGAAGAACGTGATAATTTATTGGGTAGTGAGGAAGAAGAGGAGGAAGAGGCAAAGAAGAAAGTTTCCCCCAAGAGAAGAAGCTTTGGTCTTCGTGTTGCCTTGCAGTTTCCCACCAGAAAATCATCTGAGAAGAAAGTGCCTGAACAGGCTTTTTCTAACTTACCTTTAAAGGACAGTGAAGCCGTCACACCCATTTCAAAAGAAATAACCTGCAAGCGGTGGGACAAACTAGAGGGCTCTGCTTCAGACTCTGAAGAAGACATTAAAGAAACACAGGAGGAAAATTCCAGTGCTCTGCTTAAGAGAGCCATGAATATTAAAGAAAATAAAGCCATGGTAAGACTTATGAGCAGTGCTTTGTTCTCAGACCTTTACATCGAGTACTTGGCTTCAGCACACTTGAATTTTGGGGGCCACACTGGTGCTGTGCTGGGACTTTGGGAAAATCTCAGTGGTTTGTGTTTGAATTTTTCTGCCCGGGAAGACTCTAGAGGGCCTTCAGCCCTCAGATATTTGCCCCTCAAATAGCTTTAAGTAGGATTAGCCTACTCAAGTTTAACTGCAGAGTTGAACCAAGCATTTTGTATGTGGATGTGAGCAAAGTTACACATGCCCAAGTTGCAGTCTGATATTCCGGACATGTCAGAAAACCAGCTGGTCCCTTCGGTGGTTTGTGGTGTTATTTGCTCAATAGAGTTTCTACTTTTCATTTACGTCTGAGAGATCTGCTGCAGTTATTGATTGGAAAGCCAGCTAAACACTGCTAAGGATGATAAATGTAATTTTTCAGTTGTGTGGGATGTGATGTTTACAGCTATGCTTTGCTGTGTACTACTGAAAGTGTGTGTATGTGTGCGTGTAGGTGGGGAAAAGAGAGACACTGATTGTTCCCTCACATGTTTTCCTCTGTTGTCCAAAACATCACCAGCTCTTTTAATTGTCACACTGCTGTGCAAATCCCAAGTTGATATTGGGTCCTCGGTGGCTCCTCTAGTTTTACTGTATTCCAGGAGAAGTTGGAGCCTCCAAGCAATTGTGGGGCTCAACTACACCTCTTGGGTGTGTGGGCCTGCAGCTCCCACATAAAACTTGCTTTAGTTTTGTACCTAATGTACAAATATATCTAATTGCTTTGTGCTTCTAATCCGTCCTGTTTCCTCACTGCTTTTGTGTTGGTCTTGCTGCTCTTTCTTCCCACTTTCCACCTTTCCCTCACCTTTCCTTCTAGTTCAACCAGCGTGAAATTCATTAGCATCCTAGTTCTGGTTCTGTAATGACGTTAAATAGCTTTTAATAAGTGCAACACTCAAGTATTTACCAAGAGATGTTGTACCCAGCTTTTAATCTCATGATTGGTACGGCGGTCTCAGAGACAGCTAGCAGCCTGGCTCATCCCTGCTATAGCTGGCTTTTCAGAAGATGGCCTTATCCTGGCCTTTCAGAACAGGTCTGTATTTATTTGTTTTTATTTTTTTTTGGCCTGTCAGTCACTGCTTCTGCTGAAATGCACCTCCAGGACATCTCCTGCATGGTTCAACAGATTGTCCTGCTGAAGTGCTTCTGACACTGCATATGCCAGGGTTAGGGGAGCTGCCAGCGGGGTTTAGTTGTTTTAACGACTTTGCAAATGAGTGTGTACCCATGTGTATCTGCCCAAACCAACAGGTATTTGGTGTTACGGGCTGTGGTTGCAGCATTTGTGAAATCAGTGCTGGCTCTCGTGGTAGAAAAAGGGAAGTTCTCAGTCATCACTACTGAGGACCACTGAAAAATGACCAGCAAAGTTTCTCTGCTGCAGTGTCACTACTTAAGGGGACGTCAAGTTCCTTGGCAAAAAGCACAGGCGTATCAGCAGGCATTCAGTAAAACAGTCCACAGGGAACATCTTAGAATCCTCTAGTAGAGCTTGGAGCACTCTTGCTGCCAAGAGAACCCTGTCTTCTTTTTTTCCCTCCTGTCATGTGAACTGTGAATTTCTCATCAGTCACAGATACTGTAACCACACTGTAATGCACTTCTTCAGTGCTGTTTTGACAAAATTGGGTGTAATTCTAGCTAATTCTAATTCCCAGCAAGAGTTAATGGGAGCTGTGAAGTTAGGTCTGCTCATTCAGGGGTAAAGCTCCTTTTATGAGCCCCACTTAAATAAAGTGCCTCCAGAAAGGTTTCATGCACTGAAACTTCACGTGTTGAGATGGAATTGGGAGTGTGTGTGCAGAGTGGTGTTAGTATTGCCTACAGAGGTTTGCTCATTCAGGGGTAAGAGCTCCTTTTATGAGCCCCACTTAAATAAATTGCCTCCGGAAAGGTTTCATACACTGAAACTTCATGTGTTGAGATGGAATTGGGAGTGTGTGTGCAGAGTGGATGGTAACGTGTTGCTTATTTGCAAGATTGCAGTGAGTTTTCAATGTGGCATCACTGTTGGTTTCAGCTTGCCCAGTTGGTAGCAGAACTGAATTCCATACCCGGCCTGTTCCCGGTGAAAACGCCCACCTCCACTCCTCCGGTAAGTCTCTGGTACCAGCTAGAGGTGACAGACCTGTTTCCTAGAGTTATGACTAATGTGTTTCCTGATGAAACACTTTCACCAAGTTTGTTCTGATTTTCTTTGGGTTTAGTTGCTTTATTCAGATGGATTTGCTATTGGTCAGTAGTTAAGTACCAAGGGTTATGTAAAGAAATGGAATTTTATAAGATGATTTATGAAGTATGAAGACCAAAGTGAGATGTTACTTTATCCTTTTTACCCCAGAAATACTTTTGAGATGCTAGGCAAGTCTATGTTTGCGTATGTGGGAATAAGGAAGAGTAGTTGCTTCCCTTTGTGTTTAGTGCCTATTAATTTCCCAGTTAATGTCCCTCTTGCAGGCTTTTCTTTTAAAATCCACTTCCCAGTAGAGCTGTGCTGATGAAATTCAGCCACTTTGACATGAAACTGGGATGATACTGTAGTTATTTCAACTGGCTTTTCTTGGCTACAAGAACTGTCAGCCCCTCAAGGCTCTCTATAGGGTGTGTTTTTTCCACATGTATTATAAACTGAAGACCTTTGAGTAAAAATTGAAGGGCCATGTCTTTGGGAAGTCGATGTAGAAATGCTGTTGTGGTGCTCATCAAGTGAAAAGGTGAAGCCAAATTATACAGTCATTGAAAGGTTGGAAACTTGCTAGCTCTAGTTAAATGCTATAGAAACTTAAACCATCCTTTGAATAAATACATAAGTCTACTACTTTTATTTAGTATCTTTACTTGAGAAGGTGGGAGGGCATCAGGAATACTGGGGTTATCTCTTCTGCTTGTTTTTTGACTTCCAGTCTGTTTCTTTGTGATGTGCCTTTCACTTCTTTCAAAGGAAATAACTAAAGAGTAGAGCAGCAAGCAGACATGCTTCCTACATCTTGTTTATCCTGTCAGATTTAGTAGATGCCTTTATGGTAGGTGTCTGCAGGACTTTGGTTGTATGATTCCAGTCATGCAGTAACTGGCAGGTGTGAGAATATGAAAAGGGTTATCTTGTGCCTCCTAGTAATTTCCAAGAAAATTCCTATAAATCCTTCCTAAAAATCTGGAGGATTTCCAGAGAATAAACTTATTAAGACCCTTTCAATTTAAAAAATATAAAGGAAAATAAGCTAGAATGCAGATTATTCCTTGAAGATGTATTCAATTTGTGGGAAAATCTGAACCTTTATCTTCTGAAGAACAGTGAGAATTAGCTTCTGCCTTCATAGGCCATACAAAAAATTTAGGTATACATCTGTGATGTTAATTGGAATAGAATTTGACCATGAAAGTGTGATGGTTTAGAAGGAGGCAAAAGATATAGCATGTATAGTATTAAGTATGCTAGAAATTGGTGTCGTTTGGCTTAACCATTAAGGAGTAGAAGAAAAACAGATTAATTCATGATAGTACAAGTGTGTTACAGACATTTTGAAGTAATTTCTGGTGTTTACAAACATAACTGAAAAGACAGTTACTGGAATCGTCTTCTCTTCCCAGAAACAGAAGAAAATCCCAAGAAGGACATTCTCTGAGGGCCAGATAGAACGTCGCATGAACCCAACCAGAAATGCTCGTCCACCAGAGAAATTTGCCTTGGAAAAATTTACTATGTCAGCTGTCAAATTCGCAGAACACTTCCGTAGCTACAGACAACAAAACCTCTTGAAGAAGAGACTCAGTATGGTATTTGCCAGACTTTGATATCTCCAGTGGTTGGGGATTAGGAAACATTTAAATTGTTGGCCAGCCCTTTCCTACAGAAAGCTAATGAGAACCTTTGGGTTGCGATTAGCTACAGAAGAGTTGCGTTCAGGCCCTTCTTGCCTCATCTTTCAGCTGTTAACTGGGCTTTATTTGTGACCTGCGTTGTCCAAACATATCAAGGCCATTTACTTATGGTCTAGTATTTATTTATTATCTGAAAATTACTGGAGCCCACAATGTAGAAGGCCTTCGAGTGGCAAGGCGGTGGGGCTGGTGGAAGAGACTAAGCAGATCTCTGTCTTCAGGCTCAAAAAAAAATAGCAAAACCCCTCTCTGGAAATAGGAGAGGGAAGATAGAGAAGGGTGATACAGCTGAACTGAGAATCTGCACCAACAACTTCCAACATACTGTTTAGCCATTCAAAAGTTGCAGGTTTTATGCTTCCC